TTGTAACTGTGGTCAAATACTTTAGCACTTAGGAAAAATATAACTTCAGGCCCAATTCAGTAAACTTTTGAGCTATTAATAGTTTTAAAGGGAGGACATTATCCAATGGAATCCCAAGCCTGCTCTGCAATCAGAAAGTTTCCTTGTATGGCTGCTGATCTTTGCACATCAGCGTCTGTTAAAAGTTTCACCTGTGTAACTCCACCCATGATCACGAGATGGCTTCTTTTTGGAGCAAAGCCTCCAGAATTTAAAAGTGTTGAATGTTCTCCATTTAGCCACTGACAACATATCAAGTGACAGCATTCATCTATCCCACACATTAAATGATCTTGTCCTAGAGGCTATTTGGATACAGCGCATCTGTAATGCTTTAAAGCCTATATCCGAGAATCGCAGCCTGTTTAGAAAGGCACAAGGCATGGATAATAATAATTTAGGGTCTCACTGACTTCAAAAGACATGCATGATAGCCTCACACCCCAAACCCAGTTACCTTCTTTTTCTTCTTTTTCTGGGCCTTACGGCTTGCTGAGCTCTGTAGGAGTGCCTAAAAGAGAAGACAAACATCAAGAACGAAGACATACCTAGAATGCAGCCTGACTGCCAGCCATAACAGAACACAGCCAGTCCTAGAATGTTTGGCACACACTGGGACTGACACTTGGCCTCACACAGAGCTGAGTTACACATTTTCAGAGCCAGCTACTTCAATTTTCACCTATTTGTAGAAAGTGACTTCACAGGGGAACCTCAGTGTCTATACAGAGCTGTCCACAACAGAGTTATAAAACAGCATAACCTGACAAAACAAAACGTTGCTTACTTGTAACTAATGCTTTTTGAGTGCCCATCTGGGCAATCACATATACAGGCTCTGCACAAGCACTGGAGAAGGCTCCAAAACATAACGCCCAAGAACTGGTGCTCACATCCTCTCCTTGTAGGAAGAGATGATCCCTTTTTACATCCCTGAAGGGGAGGGGGCTGGGGCCTTCCTGCTCAGTTCCTGGAGAAGAAGGTGGGCAGGTTATGCAGCTACACAGATGATCCCTCAAAGATCATCTGTTTCAGGTAAACAACATGTTTCTCTTTGTGGTCTCTGCAGTCCTACCTACGGTTGATCAGCAAGCTGACCTACCTTGAAGTGGAATATTAGTTTCAGGAAGTTATGGAACACACCACAGCCTACCCAAATATTGTCATCTAAGTTGCAGCTCTGTATTCCTCATGCAGAGGCACACCTCTGAGAAAGGAGGACAATGCAGAAAGTGTTCCAAAAGAGTGAGGAAGAAGTTGTCATGCTACAGGATCCCCCTGGATAGTGTCTGGATAGGCACTTGAGAACTCTTTCTAGGACCACTGTTGCACCAGAAAAGTCTGTTATCCTTCGTGAAATTCTTGGTACAATGTAAGAGAAAATATAGGGCTCATCACACATTTGAATGAAGTGTTCATTGTCCATCATCTTGGGGGCAAGGAAAGAAAACTGGTCTAGCACAATATCCTGCAATGTTTTCCTAGTGAGAATCAGGTAAACACCCCACACAGGGATGGATGTGTGTTGAATTGGAGGACACAACTGTACGAGCTTCTGTGACTATGAAGCTGGGAAACTACAAGAGCCTGTTAACTTGAATGTGGTGGGCAGAAGCTGCTGACAGGTCGACTGACAGAAAGAGATACTGAATTGTAGGTGAAGAATGTATACCAGCACCTCTGACACAAGGACTGTATTGGGGAAAGTGTTACTGAGCACCTTTAAGTACAGAAGTGTTTTCATTTTGCCGCACTAGGCATGGTTCCTCCACACTATCAGCTCCAACATTACAGGCCTGTGATGGAAGATGTTCCAACTCCTCTGGGAGAAAAAGGAGGAAACACTGGACCCCTAGGCAACTGTAGAGGCTGAGTGAACCAAGTTGTCTTGACCATTATGACACTATGAGGGTGTTTTATCCAGCTCAGCTCTCTCTATTATCTGGGAATAGAGGATGTTATAGCAGGGGTGGATCCAGCTACCCTCCAATTTAAGCAGCCTCTTCAGCTGGAGGAAAGCTTCAGACTTTGCTGACAAGAGAGTCTGAAAGAGCAACTTCTTCAAGATTGCCTAGTGAATTTAGCACAGCGGGAGTGGGAATCAACTTTATGGCCTTCCCCTAAACACAGAGGATGTGGCTGCTGAAGACTGGCTCCTTCTTTGCAATCGCAGCACTTTCAAAAACTGGGATATTTTTCATACGCCTCACAGACTGGGGGGAAGGGGAGGGTTGAAGTAGCAGTAGCTAATTTATTATAAAGAAAAACAAAATCGTAAAGCAAAGGTGTTGAACTCATTTGTTTAGAGGGGCGGATCTGACAGAAATGTTACTTTATCAGCCCGGGCCATCTGTGCCATAAAATTTAATGCCAGGTACTGGAGAATAAACTTTATAAATGAGACAGGAAAACCCAATTATCAATATTATTTTTTTACTCCACTGAACTGTGTTTAGAGGAGGCAGGAGGGAAAAAGCACCACACCTCCTCTTTCTCAGCCTTCACTGCCATTCCCCCTGCCACACTATTTTACCTTGGTCTCAGTCCTGCCCTATAGCAATTTCCTTTCTATTTCTTCGACAGTTTTGACCACACACACATCTCACCAGGTGCGTCCACTCCCCCCCAGCAGCTTCCTGCCCTCGCATCAGTTGCTCACGGGCCAGGTAAGAGCCCTGGATGGGCTGCTCGCGGCCCCAGGCCATATGTCTGACACCCCTGTTTGAAAGTACAGGGAGGAGAAAGGACTGAGGGAAGGATAAGTAGGAAAACTCCTGAAAGCTAGAGCAAACTAAGAAAAAATTCTTACAACCACGAGTTAGAAAAGAACTGCTGTCCTGTCCCTTGAGGCATGCACAGAGGGATGGGACCCCCCCCCCCCAGGCCAATTCTTGGGTTAGAACACTGGGGTTGCCTTCTGCACCAGTGCAGAACCCAGTGGTGGGACTGTACAGAGATTACTACGAATTACTGACTTTACACAGATAAATGCTACCACTACCAGAATGTACACATACTGCCTTCAAAAATTACTGCTGGCTTGAATTCAGAACTATTTCTTTAAATTAATCCAGCTTGTTCTTACAGATCATTAACAATTTTTATCTGAAAAAGAAATCTTCACAAGCTCTGTAGAAAACACTCTCACTTCAAGAAGGAAGAGCAAGCAGTTTGAACTTGGCATATAGTCTGACTAGTTACTTCAATCATTTTTTAAAATAAAAAGCTGATCTCAATGTGAGAGGTGTATGCAAATTTTTACCAGAGGCAAGGCTTTCCCCCAGCATCTCTTGACTGAACCAGAGGTCCATCAGCGGCTCTTAGTGATGCTCTGGATTCTTGGTGTTTGGGGGGGCAACAGTGGGAGGGCTTCTGGCCCCACTGGTGGACCTCCTGATGGCACCTGGTTTTTTGCCACTGTGTGATACAGAGTGTTGGACTGGATGGGCCATTGGCCCGATCCAACATGGCTTCTCTTATGTTCTTATGCAACACCTTAGAATATATCTTGGAGACTCAAAACATAGCCCAACTCTCTCTGATCTGCTCCCACAGGCTTTTAATAATTGGGGATTGGATGCATAGAAGTTCTCATAATTACACTGACCTTCAGGTCTGCATCTTGCACTTCAAATTCAGATTTGTAGAGTTCAGGCTCAAAGGGGCCACTGGTTAACCTCATGGGACCGTTGGGCATTAAAAGCACCGTAAACTTAAACTGGGCAACAAACTCTCCTGGAAAAGATCAACACATGAACGTATTAGGAAAACTGATATATAGAGACACGGGCAAAACACACATGAAAAGAAACAGCACACAGAGTAAAAGCAGAGTAAGACTGCTTTGCTTCTGACATATCTGCTCCAAGAAGGAATACACAGATACAGAAGCATGACCTACAAGTAAGCTTTTCAAGTGATGCAAACAGAGATGTTGCCTTCCCTCTTGATCTCGCTTCAGCCCATCTAAGTGCTTTGAGGCGGGATGACTTTGCAGGCTCTCATCAATGAGAGGCAAGCTACACACACTCTCCTCCTGTATCACTGCACATTTAAGTCAGCCCTGGTAGCCATCCAGCCTGCCACTCTCTTAGCTGAACCACAGACTCTTTCTTCTCTGACACTGAGCTAAGCTTCAGAGGAACTTCAAACAGTTTAATTGATTTACTACATTTATACCCCACATTTTATTTTATTTATTTACTGATTTTCTACCCACCCACCCCCAAGCCAAGGCCAGCTCAGGGCAGCTTACATAAAGTCAACTCAGTTTACAATAAAACATAAATTAGATTAGAACAATTCTAAAACCATTTAGACCACACGATATGGTAAATTGCAAGTGACCAGTGTTCCCTCTAAGCTGAGTTAGTGTGAGCTAGCTCACAGATTTTTAGCCTCCGGCTCACACATTTTTGTCTTGGCTCAGGAAGGATGGCTCCAGAGCAAAGTAATTTATGCAACAGCCAAATTGCTCGCTCACAACTTTAATGCTAGTAGCTCACAAAGTAGACTCCACAGCTTTTAGAGACCGAGCTTAGAGAGAGCATTGCTAGTGACGCTGATTTCATAATGGTTGCTGTTACTCAGTTCTCTCTTCTCAGTCGGTTCCTCGGTCTTCTTTGATTATCCTTCCGGCGGCTAGCTCAGGCGGTTGTTAGAATTCCAAGAGAAAACAGGGCTCTGTAACCCTCAGCTGTCAGTTCTTAACGGTAGCGGCGGCTCCAAAAGCCTGGTGGAAGAGCTCAGTTTTACAGGCCCTGGCGGAACTGCAAAAGATCCCGCGGGGCCCTGATCTCCTCTGGGATCTTGTTCCACCAAAGGAGCCTTTCTCCCTAATACAGACACAAAATGGCTTACATCTTTCTCCTCAGCTCCATTTTATCTTCACAACAGCCCTTTGAGGTAGGTTAGTGTGTACAACTGGGCCAAGGACACCCACAGCAAGCATTCCCAGCAGAGTGGGGATTTGAATCTGGATCTCCCAGATCCTAGCCCAACACTCTAACCATTACACAGTTGCAAGTCTTGCGGTTTCCAAGTGTTACCAAAGCCCACTTGCGGTTTCCAAGTGTTACCAAAGCCCAATGCGAGATCGGAGATGAGCCCATCTCACACTGCACTTGCCACATTAAAAAGATACATTCACCACTTGCTACAGGATCACAGAGTTCTCAGCAGCACAGCTAACCTTTATGCTGTACGTGCATGCAATATGGTATTTTGTGCAGACATTTGTGCTTCATTTAACATATAAACACAAACTCAACTGGATTTTTAAAAAAAAGACTGTATAAATCATTCTGTACTAAAAAGCAGGATAAAAACATTGCGTTAATTATTAGCACACATTCTGTTCTGAGATTCAATCAGTTAAGAGCTCCTGTAACGACTATATAAATCATTTTGTACTAAAAAGCAGGATAAAAACATTGTGTTAATTATTAGCACACATTCTGTTCCGAGATTCAATCAGTTAAGAGCTCCTGTAACCAAGGACTATACTGGGCCAATTAGAAAGCATATTAATGCTTCTCTGTAATGGTAAAACAGCACTCAGGAACTAGTTCCTGGAACTACTAGGATAAAAACTGCTCTGACATCCAGTCACAGGGCCTCACCTTCCTTCTCATAGAGGACATTAAAAGGCTGGAGCAGCTCATGTTTGGCGCATTCTACTACTCCCATCCTGGCCTTCTTTTCATCTTCAAATGCCCTGCATGGAACAGAACAAAAGATTAAGAACCAGACACTGCAATCTAGGCTTTTCAATGTTTTCAAGTTGCTTCCTAGCCCACTACAATGTCAGAGTGGCAGAGTCTTATCACAGGTGTGCAAATTTTGTGTAGGTGTAGAAAACATGGCATAAAATGTGGCACAAAAATACCACCACCTTCCTCAGCATCTCAATTTTCTCTCTCTCATGGCTGGAAATGCTGCTTGAATGTGTAGAATTTCAAAACGGTGGATGGATATTATTTCCAGTGGTCAAGGAATAAAGTTTGCACAGCTTCCCGCTCCCCTCCCCAGCTAGAAGAATTATACAAAATAACCAACACATGTGGGTGTGCACAATATGCACTATTTATACAGCCTTGGTACAAAATTGTGACTTTCTGAACTCACAGTATATGCAGAACTGCTTATTAATTATAAAGCAGGGCCAGCAATCTGCATATAGTTTTAAGGCTTCAGCACAGAATAACAAAGCTATCTGGAACATCCCCTTTCCCTTAAAACACGCAGAGCAGACATGGCTGCAATGGTAAGAACCATTTCAGCAAACGACCCTGCTAGCAAGTGCATAAGATCTTCAGAGAGCAAATAAATGAGACGAAAAAGGGAGAATACCTGAGAGTGAATGGCATAGCATCAAATCGTCTCTCCACCTCACTGAAAAAGGCACGGGAAGTTTTCATTTTCAAGCCATACTGCTTGGAAGGGTCCCTTTTGTAAATTGTAGTTCTCTGCCCAGCATCCCTGGCCTAAAGACATACAAGCCATTTAATACTATTTCAATACCACTGTTTCAAGATTTACTCATACAAATGGAGGTCATGCAGTGACAGGGACATTTAATACCCCTTGCTGGAAAGTTCTGGCATACCATCAGTTACTGGCTCATTTTGGCTACGTAGTCTCTCAGAACAAAACTAAACCAAGCCATCACAAAAAGTTACCTAGTCAGGAAGGTAATGTGCTCACTATGGGTTTAGATCAGATTGCACACCTTTTATGCCACATATTTACAGAACAGTTACAAAGAAAGAACACTTACTTTTCCTTCCCCAGTGCTGATGAGAACATCGATGGCATAAACTTCATGGACCTCAAACTCTGCTTTTTCATGGTCCTTCCTAGACAGAAACAAGTACAGAGAAATGAAGTAGAAATCCTTATCTACATGAAGCTAGCTAATTCACAGTCATGGCTTCCATTTCACCTTTGCAACAGATCTCTGCGCCCTTCATACCATGTCAGGAAACAAAACTGCAGGGCATCAATCAATCTCAAACAAGAGATACATACCTTTGCTGGTCTGAGGGGTTCTGAATGATGGTCTTCTCACCATCTATCACATGCTGCTTTAGCTGGTGTGACAGCATCCCTGCCAAGGTAAGAACATCTATTAGCATTTATACCACAAAGAACCACAGAACAACTTGTTGCTGACATTCCAAGATTCTGTAGCCTGAAAAAGAAAAAACAAACTAAAAAACAAACTTTAAAAAGTCTTGTTCTTTGCCAAATGGTTCAACACAAACAGAAAGAAACCAACACATCAAGACTATTTGAATAATGAGAGGAAGTGGGATATTACAGCAACTGAGCTCCTTAAAGCACTTCAGGGCTCATCTTTAGACTTCAGTAGCCTGGAATACAATTCATATCCTTGTGAAGGCCACTTCTCCATTTTTATTAATTCCAAACAGAAATATTACTACATTGACTCTAGGACAGTGCCGTGTCACATCTTTAACTCAGTACTTTTTAGTTGACTCAATTAACCCTGTCTTTGTTCCGCACTCAATAAAAAGGTAAAGGTTCCCTTGCTCGAAAGCCAGTCGAATCCGACTCTAGGGTTGCGGTGCTCATCTCCGTTTCAAAGCCGAAGAGCCAGCGCTGTCCGAAGACGTTTCCACGGTCAAAGGGCCGTCATGACTAAACACCAAGGTGCACGGAACGCTGTTACCTTCCCACCGAAGTGGTACTCAATAGTACACTCTTAATTTCTGCACTACTACAAGTCCCTGAATTCTCATCACTGGTTTGTTCTCTGCAGCCTCATTTTTTGCCCCTTTCTTCCCTTAAGTCCTTTTCCTGTACTTGGTATCTGCACCCCTTCTAGTTATTTTTCCCCACATGCCTTGCTGAAAAGCAAAATCACATAAAACATTTACAGTGCAGTTCTGAGCACAATTATGACCTTCTAAATGCACTGAAGTCAATGGACTCAGAAGGGTGCTCAGGATTGCATTGTGATTCCAGTGGTTCACGCTGAGGGCCCACCCACACAGTACAGGACAAGATGGATTAGCTACTGAGTATACACTGGGAGCTGCGGTGGCTCAAGTGGTTAAGACGCTGAACTGCAGGCTGTGGAAGGTCAGTAGTTCAGCAGTTCAAGACCCGGGTTGCCGCATGACGGAGTGAGCTCCCGTCTCTAGTTCCAGCTCCTGCCAACCTAGCAGTTCAAAAGCAAGAAATTGCAAGTAGATAAATAGGTACCACTTCGGTGGGAAGGTAACAGCGTTCCGTGCACCTTGGTGTTTAGTCATGCCGGCCACATGACCACGGAAACGTCTTCGGACAGCGCTGGCTCTTCGGCTTTGAAACGGAGATGAGCACCGCAACCCTAGAGTCGGACTCGACTGGCTTTCGAGCAAGGGAACCTTTACCTTTATACACTTGACAGGAAGTTTCAGCTGATCATGGTACTCTGATAAGGACACCAACATGCCGTAACTCAATGGTGTTTAACATTTTTTGAAGAATAAACTTACTGTACTTTTCAGGACCCGCTTCTAAAGTGCTACATTCCCCCTCCTCAACTAAACAAGTTTCTATTTTATTTTTCATGCATAATATTTATAAGTAGACAGCATTACTGAGCAACAGGCTGCATTTCATGGTCATTAGGAACTATGCAGAGGCAAACCCGTATTTGTCAACAAGCTTCTTAGAGCCTCCTATCTCAGCTCACCATATTACTCCTTCTCCCTCCTCTTCTTGCAATTCACTTTCAGGTACTGACACAGTTTAATGCATCTTTGCTCAATTAAAAGCATAAAAAACATACACATACATCTAAAAATGTAACATGTGAATCAGCTCTGAGAATCTCATCACAAAAATAGCGTAAGAGGCTAACCCCCAACTCCATGCCTCTAAATCCAAGGAGAGGAGAAGCAACAGCGAACATAATGCAAGCATTCTCCCACTCTCCCCATTGACAGGCTTGCAGGAGCCATATATATATTTCCTCAGAGGTACAAATGGATTGCAATTAACAAGGCGTTTGGAACTCCCCTGGAGCCAGATGACCAGTCAGAAAAAGGGCCTGCTAGCAGCCCATCGGATTTAAAACTGAATGGACCTTTCAAAAAAATCTAATTAAATCTGGAATTCAGAGTCTAGCAGTTGTGACGCGTAGAAATCAGTGTCACTATACAAGACACTACAGAGCCACTCAACCTGACTGGAGCAGGTTTTCCCAGCATACAAATATCCCTTTTGCTCTGCAGCATGTTTCCATCTTCAGACCCAACCCCAAGCCATTCCTCACCTGTCCTCTAAATCACAAATCAGGAGCAAGGAATCAACACCTTTCTACTTAAGGGAGGACAACTACTCATGCAGCAAGAAAAGGTTTGATCCAGAAAGAAAAGAATCCTGTTTAGTCTTATAAACTCTTATACTGCTGCCAGTGACTGGATGATTATGGCACTTGTATGTTTCCAAAACAGTAGCTGCTTAGATTCCCTTGATGGCATAAGCAGCCACCTCTTCACTGTATTGTTACATTTTTCCTCTATAGAAAGGAAAATATCAAGTCTAAAAGGCATCACATTGGTATAATAGCTTAGCCTTGAAACTGCAATTCTTTGCAGTGAGCTGACAGGGCTGTCCAATGAGCTTATATATGACAGTTTGACTGGAGGCTAAACACATTTTAGTGAGACATTCACATCACTGAAAGAGCATATTTCTTTTATGTTGACATCACCACTACAGAACTCATGCCAAAATACATTCCCATGATCCCTTCTCAACACACATCTCCTCCTTGGGCTTGTTTGGCTGAATTGGTCCCCAAGGTGACTTGCATCTCTTTAGAGCCACAGCTAGGAAGGAAAAGGATTCAGTGTATCACTATGCTTTATCTATTGCAGCTTCTAGCAAAGGTTCTCAAAGCATTTTACAAATATCTCCATCTCCAGATTGTGATTTGCACATTAAATCATTTCCCCTGCTATCCAAATGGGCAGGTTCGAAGACGAGGCAATTCGTGCCATGATCAGCTGAAAGAATTATGTGAAGCATACCAAAAGCAATTTGGGCATCTAAAGGCGATATGCTGTCACGCTCAGTAGTTAACGCTTCCAAAACTTCAAGCTGCCTAGGTCAAGGATCACTGCTTATGATTAATGCTCTTCTATTTCTGCTCTGTGTCACTTCATTCTTCAGTCAGCCAAGCCCTACCTTCAATTGGTGTGCAGTTAAATGAATGAGCTATCTTGTTCCAGGCATCTGTCACTTGTGAGTTCTGTTGAAAGAGACAAGATACAGGCATTTAATTTGTGCATGTTCTACTGCGAAAGCGGTGACCAAACCCTATTTCTACCTTAACATATTTCCCATCAGTTATTATGGAGATCCCAAACAGTCATGCGTACTCCTCCACTCAACTATAAATGTTAAGGCAGCAACAAAAAAATTACTCTGTAGTACAAGTACCCTAATACTTAATGAAAAGCAACACAGAAGATTGCTGTATTCATACAGAACAGCAAAAGGCTAGACAGAAATTAATCGACACTGAAATTCAGGAAGGGCTGCAGTTCAGTTGTAGAGCATCCGCTTGGCATGCAGAAAATCCAAGGTTCAATCCCTGGCATCTCCAGTTGAAAGGACCAGGTAGAAGGAGATGTGAATGACCCTGGAGAGCTGCTACCAGTCTGAGTAGACAATATTGACCTTGATGGATTACAGTGGTCTGATTCACTATAAGGCACCTCCATGTTTTTCGTCTAAAATTACTATATAAGCTTGACAAGTGAGGTGCATATTAATGAAATCAATGGCAGGGACAGTAAACAAAGAAATTCCACTTTTCACACAAATGCTGCCTCAGATTAGAAGATAAAGCTGGAATTATCAAATAGGTGAAAGCAGAACTTCAAGCTAGTGATACAGCTCCAAGAGGGAATACAAATACACATATAGTTGCCAGAGTTGCCAGGCGTTTGAATGAGAAAGAAGAAAAGAGGGAGGAGGGATTCTCCTAACAGCCACCATCTTTTCACTAGCAAGGCTCAAATACTGCCTGGTAGCCAAAACCTCTTACAGTATAAAAGCCACAGCAGAACACTCCAATAAAAGGCCTAATTCACCCCAGAGAGCTTTCTTAGTCCAGCCACCCAGATTCCCCACACACATTAATAGCTCCTCACAGAATAAAATACACACACACACATATATTTCTGCATTCAGATCAAGATGCTCATGGACCTTGCCTACCTCCAGCAACCTGATGGAAGAAAACCCATGTGAAGGTTAGCCATCTACTCTCACCTGGTTTCCAGGCTTGACCAAACGCAAGGCAGCTTCAGCACAGAGGTGAGCTGCTTTGATGACATCAGCTTTGCGACCGGTCACTGGGGTTTCCTGAAAGGGTGGGAGGAAATTAGCTATTACTGTTTACTCATTCACTGCCAGGAGGAAAAGTGTATTGAGGAATTTGGGACAGCATACATAACATCAAGGCCACAATCTACCTAAATCATCTTATGCTATGGATTTCAATGAAACAGTTTAACCACCATTCAAGTCTTTCCTTCTGAAGTCAACCACTAAATTTTGGCTGGATTATACATTAAGCATTTTGCTTTATTTTTAATTGAAAAGGGATTTAAAAGAAGTCCCAACATCCATGGGCCATACTTTTGTCCTAAGTGCTCAACTAGCACCAGCCATGGTTGAAGAAGCCCAACAGACAAGTAGAAGAAGAAGAGATTGGATTTATACCCCGCCCTTCACTTGGAGTCTCAGAGCAGCTTACAAACTCCTTTCCCTTCCCCTCCCCACAACAGACACCCTGTGAGGTGAGTGGGGCTGAGAGAACTCTGACACAAACTGCTCTTTTTCAAGGACAGCTGTGCCAGAGCTTGTAACTGACCCAAGGTCACATCAGCAGGTGCAAGTGGAAGAGTGGGGAATCAAACCCGGTTCTCCCAGATTAGAGTCTGCACACTTAACCACTACACCAAACTGTAGGAAAAACACCTGTCCATACCATGATTTACCAGCACCAGATTGTGTGAGATAGAAGATGGACTCAAAAAAATTAGCTGCCAGAGATACCACTTAAGTACAAATTTAAAAAAATAGTTTTTAAAAAAGGGGGGGTTTACCTAGAATTTAATCTTAAATTTTGCTTACCTGACAATTTTGGACCAATTTAACAGGACATGCCACTTATACATTATTGTATGGCATCCACTGAGTGACTGATCAATAGGGTTCAGTATGGCTGTTAATAGCAGTAAATGCAGTAATTTGCAGATATAGTAATGGCAAATTTATCCACGAAAAACATCCTCAGCATTAAGTAACACATAAGCATTCTGCTGCAGAAAATGACTTTAAAGAGATACAAGAATTTGGCAAATCCAAATTGGAAGTCATTATTTAAGTGCCCTGAAGACCATCCTGACAGAAACTTGACTGATTTAGAAGAACATGTTACTCGCTCATATAGATCTACCAATACTATGTGGTATCTTTCAGAAATATCTAAATGATTCAAATGTGCAAGAACGATCCAGTGTCTCAGGCACCTAACCCAATGGACATGCACATTGAATAAAATATCCAAACACTATTCCTGCATCAAATCCTCTCCCGTGCCCGAGGATGTGAGGCCGGCTCTTCCTGCTCCTGGTGTCGTCCTCTGGGTCCTAGGGTCCTTAGCCGTCGGTCCCCAGCAGTCAGCTGAGTGTGCACGGTACGAGCCTGGCAGATTTTAAAGTTATTTAAGGTTTTTTCTTTGTCCTAGCTACTTTGCTGTGATAAGGCTTGGAGCAGGAGCTCCAGACGTCCTATCAAGCGCAGGGCTATGCAGAAAAACTGGAGAGGTCAGCCAGGGCCACTCCAATAGGAGCCATGCAACAAAAGAAATTTGCATAGCCTATCGAGCGAGCAGAGGCGTGACCTAACCAGTTACTGGATGACTTCCCCCCACTGAAGGAGAAGGTTCTCCTTTAGGACTTTAGTGTTTCTTACACAGCTAAGAACATAAGAGAAGCCATGTTGGATCAGGACAATGGCACATCCAGTCCAACCCTCTGTGTCATACAATGGCCAAAACCCTGGTGCCATCAGGAGATCCACCAGCAGGGCCAGCTCCCTTAACACTGACTCACTGTAATTTGTGCTGGCAAGAGTCACTCTCAAACTCGTTCTATTCAAGCATGCAGCTTACACGAGCTCCTTCTATAGACCAAGACCTAACTTGAAAGCAGCATAGGCACGTGATTTATTTCAACAAGACATGCAGGAGATTTACCTTCAAAGCATCAATGACAAAACTATGTGCTACATTTGCTATGAAGCCATCAACATGGACTCCCAGGTCTCTGCAATGCAAAAAAGAAAAAGAAAAACTAGGTTTAAGCTCATAGGGAAACAAGGAACTCTGTTTGACACCTAAATCTCTAAATGCTTTACTTACAAGCCGATTGACTGCAACTGGCCAACCCTATAAATCCACTTTATAGGCTGTGCACAATCAACAGTTTGTTCTATGACAGCTAAGGAACAATTTCTACTTGGCAAGCTGGGCAGTATCATCCAGTTTTGTATTATTTACTAAGAAAAATCCATAGCATATGAAAAAATTCCACCCCTGTGCAAACAAACGAATGCGACTCCTAGTTCTTCAAAAGACTTTGGGGATGCCATGTGAAAGGCTACTGCTGGAGGGGCTCCTCCCCGGACTGTGTAAGGCACGTTTTGACACATCTACTCCTAACTGCACAGGCTTCAGTGGCTGCAGAAACAAGACCACTTACTCAACAATGAGGACCACAACAACAACAAAAATGAGCTGGAGACCTACAGTTAGATTCCACATTTTAGTTTAATATGCTACCAATATTTCCTTTGCTATTTCAGTTTATAGCCCACCTATATGCTGAAGGGCTCAAGGCGGTGTGTATACAAAATCAGTATACCAAAAAGTAAGATAAAGCAATGGAAATCAATAAAACCAAATACCCCAAAAATTGATAGATAGGGGTGCGGTGGGGGGGGGGGAGAAAGGACCACCAACTAAAATAGAACTAGATGACAGATGTCTAGCAGTAGTTCAAATTAAAATTAAAATTTTAATAAAATAAAGCCATTTCACAGCTTTCTCTCGAAGTCTGTGGGGTAGGATTAGGTGGTACTCTAGGGTGTCATGCAGATTCAACATTTCGTGAAAAAACATGGTCAACTCTCAATATTTTGTTTCAAATATTAGAAAAAAATGTGTGACAGAATTAATTTGTGCTTATTGCTTGCGACCTTATTTTCATTAATTCAAATGCTTGTGATTACCAATCCAAGTTTATTTCAGCAATTTAGAAGTTTTTTCTCAAGTGCAGGCTGCCATTCTTAGAACTAATAAGAACCCTCAGGCCTCACAGACTGCACTGCATGCAAGTCTTCACACTCTTAAGAGCAACATGGTATATAGCTGTGAGCAAATTTAGCAAGCTAAGAGATAACCCAAGAAAGTGAATTTAGATGCTTACATTTTGACCAAGTCACCATCTTTGAGGATGTAATCCTGGTCACTCTTCAAAGGGGAGAAGTGACAGACACAGTTATTTACCGATATACTTGTGGGGAAGGCAATACCTATACAAAAAAGGGAGCAGTGGTGAGGTCATACCATTTACACAAGCCCTGTACACTTACCCACACTCACTTCAAATAAAAATGTGTTTCTAAAGCTGTTACCTTTACTCCATGCTACAAAGCAGCAATCTAAGGTGGTGGCACAAACACCTGTAAGTAATTTAAACACTAGACCGGTCCTGCACATGAGAGAGATCATAACTACCAGTCTGGAATGCTATCCTTTTTTTCCCCTGCCGACACTGTGAGTGGTACAAGAACCACTACAGCTGCACCAACCTGTCTTGTAGCTTTAGTAGCTTCCCCAGCTTAAAATGATATTGGTTTAGTCAGTGCTCAGAGGGAGACACCCAAGGTGTAACCTAAAACAACTAATGGGGTATGAACCACTTTTGCAGATAGCAATGCACTGCCTTTTCAAAAGATAATTTTCAAAATATCACAATGCAGCTGGTGGGTCCACCTGCCTTTCAGTAAAAAGGCAAAACGAACCTGATCACATGAAACAACTACAGAATATTATGTGTTCAGAAAACTGCATCTAGCCATTAGAAACTGTACTTGCACTGGCAAAATATGCTACAGTAATTAGCTTCATTATCAGCCCTTACCTACCATGCTTACCAATGGTGCAACCATGAAGTTTTATATCTTTTGGAATATTTTAGGGAAACTTATATAACTTTAATTCAATCCCACAGCATTGTACAGAGAAGAATTTCACTACTGCAGTAAACACCATAAAATTTAAAGTAACTTTGATCCTCCTATAGTGCTGTCTACTTGATTGTAATCAGTCCATCAATATGAAGAAGCTATAGTACTTGACAGTAACATTGCTATGCAAAATGAGGATGCACTCTTCCTTTCAAAACACTGATATAGCAGCTCCAGATGAGCCAACTATTACTGACGACAAGGCAAATTTCAACCAAGGTTCTGGACAGAGCCAAGAATTCTTGGATTCCGTTTCTGTTTTCTTCTAAGTAGTTAAGAACACACTACAAGACTTTAAATACCAATTGCCTTGTGCCTTCAGGGAGACAGTAGGTCAGATGGCAACAGTTATTTCAAATTTATACTCTATTTTGAAATTATCAAGCAGACTTGACTTAGGCTGGGTTTCAGACCAGCTTTTTAAAATTCTGCAATGTTTCAAGGTGGGGGGGGGGGAGATAATCTGATGCCCAGCATCAAACCAGGCATATTGGGATTGGAATAATCACAACCTCAATCTTCCCCTTCCGAGTTTGCTGTGACTCTTCCTCTAAAGGCAAGATTTGCATAAAAATTCCAGTTTGGCAAAATGACATGCCTTGAGCTCTGAAATATAATCCCCTCTGCATGAATGGAAGTTATTAATTCAGCTCTGGAATACAAACTAGTACAGCACACTGAGCAGCTAAGAAGAGCCCTCACCACATTAAGATAGGAGAGTTGAATAATGGTGATAATGAATGCTATTTAAAGTATGTTGTATATTAAAAAAAATAAAGTTTTGATACTGTACATTACCTTTCTTCATCTCTTTCTCCTTCTTGAAGATTTTGCCCGTCTCTTCCATGATCATGGCATCCCCTTTCTCACATAAACTGAGGACAGACACTCCTGATTTTGCTGCTTCCACGACAGTACGCAAGACTCCTGTGGTTCAACATAAATATTTTTGTACTCTTTACAGTTGTATAAAATTATACAAGTCTATGAAGCGTAGAAAAATGCAGTTACAGAAACACTTAATATTAGTGCCACATAAACATGATCAGGACAACAAAATTAACTGAGTTTTAAGAACCTTTTAGCTCAGATTTTACTAAGTTACCTTTCATCTACAGGCAGAAAGAAGAGGTTCCTGTGATGTCAACCACCTGTCTAATATTCTCTCTCTATTTACACACAGTGAAGGGTCTGTTTGATAAACAGATCTAGAGTAGCTGAAGTTTCCTTCCTATTTGAAGGCCACAGATGTGCATTAACACAATCCTAAGCATACATACTTGAAAGAACATTCTAATGAGATCAGTAAGACTTACTTCAGAGTGAACATGGTGAAGAATGAAGGCAACAATGAGCCACTACAATGGATTTTGAAAATTATAATGTATAATAGGTGTTATCTTGACAAATGTTCATTGGACCCACAGTTTACATCACTATCAACTAAGCTGCCACATTGGGAGTTTGTTTGTTTCTGCAGTTCTGTGCTGAATCAGTCCTCAGGTTCCTTCCACTGAAGTTAATGTAGTTTAACAAACAGTGCTTACTATCTGTTTAAACTGTGCTTATTATCATGCCATTCTAGAGTTTAGGGAGTAGAACGTTCTATATTTACAGAACTCAACAAATCTATTTTTGGATGAACTGTAGCCAATACCCAAAATTAGGGTGCCAGAGAAATCAGAAGATATAAAATGTATTCTTTGTTCTATGAACTGTTAAATTTGTTTAAAGCTGAAATAAGCATACATTCTGCATTTGTGGACAATTTATTTTAGTAGGTCATGTAGTAAAGTCTACAAAACTATTTGAATAAGAAAGATAAGCAGAATGTGGCCATCAACCAGCTGTCAATGCATAGTAGGGGCTTGGTTTCAAGTCAGGCTCTATTCTCAGATCAGCTGTTTCTTTAATATACATTTACCCTATAGGTAAACTGGTGACAGTCAAATTGGGATACTGTCAAACTGAGATACTTTTACCAATCTCATCTAAAGATTATGAAACCATTAACATTACCTGAAACACCTATTTAAACTCTGCTGTATCCCATGGGCTCAGAGTAAGTTACAGTAGTTTTTCAAAATAACATCTGACTACAAGGGATCCATATTCTAAAAAATCCTAGTCCACCATAGTCTTTTAGAACACTCTTGAATATCAAATACTATGTCAACTCTCACATCCTTTTAAAAAAGGAAACACTGAGCACGTGAACAATCCAGAGAACCATAGGTCTAATTCTGCCTGCAGTGACAAGGTTGCCCCCGTCACGTAACTGGCTTTTAAAACTCACAGAAGTTTCAGGACAGCTTGAAACTTTTATGCATAACTAAGAGTTCTCTAACTGTAAACCCTATAAACTCTGTATATTACTACTCATACAACAACCACCTCACTTAAGATAAAAAGATTAATTTATGGTAAGCATAAGACAGTAATAGAATTTAACATCTAATTAAGGTGTCTTCCTACATCTATGGAAGTGCTTTGTCTGGAGAGTCATCCAAGCCAGAGAGGTTTTCAGACCTTTTCCTCTGGGCTGGCTTTTGATAGGCAGGTGTTAATTTTGGATGAAGTAGCATGAATTTGATGTAGTATTTGCAGTTTAAATACCAGATTATTATTATTATTCTCTCCTGTGAGTAATATCCCATCCGAGATACTTCATCAGTTGTGTACAAACCTGATCCCATTAACTTTGCAAACAAGATGCAAACTGGGTTACAGATAAAGTAGCACTTGGATCTTCAGCAAAATGATCCCAAATTAAGGCCACATAAATATTTTCATTACTCTGTAATAGCAGTTTTGTTAGGTCCTAACAGTATCACTTTAACAATTTCACTGAAGTTGGCATAAAAGGAAATAAGTTTATTTCAAACTTATGTTTAAAAATTTAATCTTAAAAAAACCCTAGAATTTCTCGATTCTGAAGCCCTCCCCCCCTTTACATTGCCCACTCCAACAAAGGTTATTTTAGGCAGGCCATGGGGTCAGTTTATCTTTAAATAAGATGTATTCTGGTGAAGCTCCCAGTCACCACCACTGGTAGAGTCAAAATAAAATGAAAGTTGTTAAGTCTGATGTAGGCTTTTGTCACCTAATACTGCAAGCCAGGGTATTTTATTTCCCACCCAGTGAGTGTGTTTGCCTACTCTTAGGAACTTCTCAAGCCTATAAGTCCTGTGCTATATATACACACAGACTTTTTTTCCGGTTTGCGAAAGGGAGAGCACATACCTACACACATGCACACCACTAAAACACAGGCAAGTAGAGGCCGAACTGTGAAAGAGGATTCCTGTTACCCTTTCTATCTTTCCCTGCATGCCGAATCATCAACTTCCTACAGTACGTGGAGGAGAGAGAGTGTGCGTGTGTGTTCTGATCAGAAGCAAGAATTCAACCTTAAACAAAAGGGGAAACCTGGGAGGAAGCCAGGATGTAGGAAGACAGTGAACGAGAGAGAGCGCCAGCAGCACATGGCAAGTCGCAGACCATGTGCCTTAACCAGTTCCCGGAGGAAGACGGCTCCATTCCCCGGGGGGATCCTGCAAAACCAACTGTTCCCTCCCCAGCCGGAGAAATCAGCTTGAACACGCGTTTAAAAACAAAAGAAGTGTGTCTAGGAGGGGGAGCAGTTCAAGTTACTACTGAATTCCTTCGCTCCACCCAAAACGTGGGGCAGTAATTTATTGACAAGGTTGATACTAAACAGGAGTGTTTAAACTCTTTCTAAGGGGGGGGGGTTAACTCGTTGGCGGGAGGGAGTGGAGGAAAAAAGAAAATCCGCCATGCGTGGGGTTCCTCTCCTACTACAACCAAGGACGCTTCGCCTCTCACGGGAGCAATGGAGGACTCCCCCCGTCCCCAAGAACTGGCGTTGGCGGGGAACGAACCCAGAGCTCCTGCCCTCCTGCAACTGGCACGAACTCACTCCAGTCCAAGGTAGGCACGGGAAGGGCTTCGTCCCCCCCCCCCCCCGCCCCCCCCCCCCCCCCGCCCATGCCATTTTT